AAAAATTTATGACCAAACTAACATATATATATTTCAGACAATTCTTCGTCTTTTGACACTTGGCTTATGAAAATCCGACCATAAATGCCTTCAAAATATTTTTTGAAAAAAAGTAGTTTTATAGATGTATTTTTGTTAAAATCTTCTCTGAAACTACTGGGTCAATTGGAATCAAACTTGACTACAATCAGCATTGGGTTATCTTCTGTAAAATAAATTGCCCAAATAATCCCGCTTGAATGAAAAAGAATATATACATGTGTTTCATTATTTCATATTTTGTGTGTCTGAATGATTCTATGTTGGATAGAACAATTTGAAGAAAAATAATGCTTACTTTATGACATGAATAATAAAGTAAGTATGATAGACTTTATTGGAAAAAACAGTACAAACTCACCATAGATACCACATTATACCAGGCATATAATTAGATACACCCGATGCGCTTCTTTTCTACATGAGACGCTTCAGTGGCGCTCATATCGGAACAGTTGGAAGGCCAAATTAAAAATCGATGTAGCCGAAGAGCATTAAAAACCGAAAATCAGAAAAGTGGTTCCAAATACGGCTAATACAATCTTCAGTATTCAAAGAACTCAAATTTAAAGACATCTGAGTAAACAATTACCGGCCAAACGCAAATAAATTTTTTAAAGTGTGCATGGTAATAACGACTGAAACTATCAATAAATAAAAAATATAAAAATAATAAAAAAAACATATTAATAATATACATTGGCAGTGAACCTTAACTAAAGCATACGTTACACCTCAATTCACCTGCAATATTCGTGTTGATCAGTCTTAAGTAGTAACTGTTGGCTGTCTGTCGATCTATTCTTTGAACCTTTATAAGTTTGCATTGCAGGATGGTCAATTGTAGAAAAGCATTTCGGACGAATGAAATGTATAAAGTTTTGTTTAATTTTTTTCAGCGCTGGGTCTAGGCTAGTGGATTATCAGGCCCTGAGGGTATCATCAGTTCAGTAGTCAGTACTTTGGTATTGACACGAATTATAACAAACCTTTTGAAAATTGTCCTTAAATAAATTTATAAATTATTAAAAAAAAAAGTTGACCTTAGATGGAGTTGGCTATTATGTTTAGGTCCTTTTGTCATATAGCTCTTCAACTGTTCGATTCTTGCACATTCTTGGCTTTCAATTATTAGGCTTTCAGCATTCTCGATGTATGGGACTCAAGAAAAGCATTTCGAACGCATGAAATTTGTAAAGCCAGTCTTGTAAGAATTTTCGCTGGATTTAGGTTTACTTGTAACGCATGTAATCGTTTTGGTACTCGTCCAGTTTTTACTATAACAAAAGTTCTTGTGTTAGCTACTAACGATATTTCCTGCAAACCTTAATTTGTCTTCTTCATCGATTGATGAAATTTCAATATCGATAAACAACTGTTGTCTTATATACCAGTTTAATAGGGATTAATAGAACTTTTCGCGATAATATGCCAAGAAACTGGAATAGACTAAAAATCGCGATGTTTATATATGACTAAAAACTTTCACTATAAACTATTGCATTTTGCCATAGCAGTGTCGGTGGCAACCTCATTTTATAAATCGTTTTTATTTTAGATTCTTACAATCAATATAAAAGGGAGGTTATGAAAAAAATAATGTTTTAGTTAAGAACTCCTATACCTTTCGGAACACCTAAAGTCACCCTCGTCTTTTTTTTTGTGCCATTCTTGTTGCTAAATAAAGGCAACAGTAGTATACCGCTGTTCAATAGTCATAATTCGATTAAGCAAAAACAAACCTGGGTAACAAATTAAAACCGAGGGAAATACATCAACTATAAGAGGAAAACAACGTAACAACAGAAACACTGAACTACAACAAAAACAAACGCCAACAAACATTCAAACGGACTGTATATAACAACTGCCATATTCCTGACTTGGTACAGGACATTTTAAGAAAAAATGGTAGGTTGAACCTGGTTGTATGGCTAGCCAAACCTCCCGCTTATATGGCAATGTTAAAAATACCGCTAAAATGACAACACTATGTCATAAGTATTGTGTTATGGTTTCTGAACTGTTGGTTGTCAGTTCATCTATTCTTTGGCAATAGTGTCATCTGGTTTTTGGCCATGGTGTCATCTATTTTTTTTTCAAATTAGGGATTGCATTTTTACCCCTTTGACGGTCCATGTACAAAACCTAGTTGTAAAAGCCCCGATTAATTTTTGTTAAGATTTGGTAAAAATGTTGGACGTTTTTGGAGATATTCCCCGAAATCGAGAAAAACTTTACTTTTGAATTGAATTTGTTTTTGGCATGTGTGTTTTTACGTAACTCCTTATTATTCTTTTCATTTTTTTTAACAAGAACTATCCATACCTCACAATGCAGTTATAAATGCTTGAATGTTTTTTCCTAAAATTAGTTTCCTAAAATTTCATATCTATCATTTCAGGCGACGAAGTACTTGGGTATATTTTTTAGCTCTGATAACGAAACTTAAATTGACAGTAATATTTATAACATTCCGGTTTTTTCTTCTTCAAACAAATGAATAGTCTTGCACTAGTTTCGTGACAAGCTTACCTTACTCCCACAAAATGTACAATATCAAGCCAAGAATTAAATCATAGTCGTAATTTCTAAGCAATTTAACTATAATACTCGACTTGATTTCCTGTTGTTGTGGTTACACTCTTGAGGCTACAACCTGTAAATAAAGACAGCAAAATTGTTAATCTTTGCGTGTTTATATATGGAGAGTTGTCTCATTGGCACTCATACCACATCTTCTTATTTCTATATGCAAACATTTTCATGGAGAACTAGTTTCAAGACTACCCATAAAGCTTACCTCATTACTCCCAAAAATCACCTGTGTCTCACCTCAAGAAAAATACCTGATCGACGTTTCTTCTTTTCAAGCCACAAGAAAGAGGCAAAAACAATCTGAGCTGTCTACGTGTGCGTATATAAACATTATCAATCTTTTCAACAAAGGTTCTAAGATGATGCATAAGAAAGAAAACAATCCAATTTACGTTAGTCTATTTTTCTTTTCGGAAAGCGTACGTTGTTATGCTGCACAGGTAAATTTAGAACAGGGTGCTGCCGATTTCTGAACCGGTTGACTTCGTTAATAAATAAAGTTGCAAAAATGTTTGATTTTTCTTTCTGAACATGTGCAGGCTGAATACTATGAGTTTCTCCCAAAAGGTACTTAATGTGATCATCAATCAATTATCAAGATCTAAAGTATTTTGTGAACTATTGTAATAACTGTGCATCAATGTGAATCTGTTTTACAATGGGTAGTCCAGTCAGACAATGGTACGAATTATAACTTTGGTAAGCGATCAATTGTCCCTTTTAATCTAAATCGGAAAGTTTATGTACATTTTATCGCATGCAGTTTGGTTTGGCTCTATTAAATGTTTGGAATATATATAATTTATCAGGATATTTGTATTTTTTTAATTTATTTTGGAATCTATCGTTTCTACGTATTTATGCACCCTGGCTATTAAATGTGTATGTTTAAGCGTCCCGACGACGGGTAGTCCAGAGAAGCGCTTTAGACGCACAAAAAGTGTGATTTTTAATCAATTGATTTTTCATCAGTTTATGCTTTTGCATTATTTCAATAGAAAAGGATCGACTTTGATATGGTATCTTTAAGAATAAAAGCGACTACATATTTAGACGTATATAGATCTAAATATGTAACAACTTTACGACAGACGTTTTCCATCGGATACCCTGTGGTTATTTAGGGATAAAACCATAATTTATTATATTTGGCAAAATGTTTCGGAATTATGGGTCCTCAATGCTTTTCACCTCATACTTTATTTGACCTTTTTAACTTTTTGATTCGAGCGTCACTGATGAGTCTTTTGTAGACGAAACGCGCGTCTGACGTACAAAATTATGAGCCTGGTATCTTTGGTGAGTTTTTTTTATCAATACCACTGCTGGTGGACTGCTAGTCACCGAGGGTATCATCAGTTCAGTAAACAATCCTTTTGTCTTGACATGATTTATAACATACATTTTTTTAAATTCGCCATTGATATATTACATGTAATAAATTAATAAGAAACTATGGTTCCAACTCACTCAGGAAAAATATACCTCAGAAGGATTTTGCTATCTTTTCAGGTTCATCTTGGTAATAAGCTCCTCATGTTTTCAGTAGTTGTGCATCCTTTTCTTTCAATTATTTGGGAGTTTTATCGTTCCTGATGATGTATACCCAGAAAAGTGCATTAAACCCATAAATATCATAAAGTTTTATTGTCATTGTCATTAGCAAGTTTATATTCAAAATATATTTACAGACCAGTATAAAAAATAACCATTAATTGACAACCCCCAAGAATTTATGCCGACTATAACAAAATGACGCTTTTGGACAATAAATTTCAAACTGTTAAAGTCGAACATTTCGTCCTACGTTCTACGTTTGAAATAAGTCAAAATATTATGAATGCAAAATATGTACTGAAACAGTTTTTACTTGCATTGCACTAGGGAATTAAAACATTCCAAATCGGTTACGACTATACACAAACATACATTGAAATCAAAATAAATAGGCTCTTGGGAATGAATTGCATAACAATTTAAAACAATAAAACCATTGCAGTTAAGTTAATTATTCAATGGAAGCGCTGAAAATATTCTGTAATAGATAGTTAATTCTTTCAAATGCAGATTAAAAAAAAATTTAAAATGTCAACCAAAAATATAGAAATTAATGTAATTTGTTTCTCTACAGGAATCTATGACGTTATTAGAGATATATGCATTCCATTTAAACTTTTCGGTAAACTATTTATACGCCATTAATTATGAATAACTTTCGTACTATTATATACGTCATAGCTGAAAAATTATACCTATCATTTACCTGATCGATACACATCGTATCATTAACAGTGTAGTAAATACATAATTACACCATGTGACAAGAATCTACCAATCGGCGAAAGTCACATGATAAACTAACATTGACAAATGCGTCAGAGCTAGAACGAAGTGGTTCATTTTAGAATTTTTCATTGAGGATTATACAGCGGCTGGTCCGCTGAAAATATATTGTGATTATTAACTTTAAATGTAAATAAATATTATAGTGTAAACAAAATGGCACCAAGTCCCGTTGAAGAGCTGGCTCTGATGGACTTAGAAAGGTAAGCGATGATTACTCTACTTGGCAAACTTTACTTTTAAAGGAGTGGTTCTCTCACTGTAAAACAACACGGAATTTTCAAACTTTTAATCTGAGTAATTAAAATAGTAAAAAATATACAGTCTTATAATAGTACAATGATAATATAATTAATGTCATTTTAATTAAAACACCCTTGTTTTACTGCACACAGAAAAAATATGTTCCGACATAGTTGCAGAGAGTTGCGTACACTACACTGTTAGTGATAGCTGTTTTTAGAAACTGACTCACAGCCGAACAATTTGTTATTAACGGGCTATGTATGTAAAGGTTAAATATTGTATTATTGGCTTTTAGGTCAAATAAAGGAGCATCAAAACAACGAAGAGACCAAATAAATGGAGAAATTTCCGTAATGAGAGACCTATTACCTTTACCAGAGAGTGCAAGGCAAAGATTATCCCAACTTCAGATCATGTCCCTTAGTTGTGTATTTATCAGAAAATGTAACGTTTTGCAGAAAAGTAAGTGTACTGTTTTAAAGTATCAGCTCTGATAATTACTTGATAATTTATATAATTACTAACTAATAAATGTAAAGATACGGTGGTTTGAAGTTATTTTATAACAAAATTGTTGAATATGTCATTTTAATGTGCCAAATAAATATTGATTACAAAGCTTTCAAAAAACTTTGACAGTAAAAATTTGGAACATGGTATTTATACTATTTTGATAAAGGAGTCAAAATAAAAAAATCCGTAAAACGGAACAAAGTCAAACTAAACATGTTTTAAAATGTTACAAAGTTTGAAATACACAAATAAACTTCAATGTTGACTAGTATCTTAATTTACTTTATGTAAATGACGAAAAAATAAACAATTGTTCATTGTGTTAAAGTTTTAAAATTACCCAATTTATTTTATTAATTAAAACTTCAAATCTTTAATCAACACAAATAAATATTTCTGTTTTTCTTCATTTCAGTGGTTAAATCATCTCAGAATAATTCGGAAGTACCGTGCGATTTTTCACAGGTAAGTTTTACAGTCTATGAAATCCAGGTCAAGTGCTATTTTCTACAGTGCTCAAGACAATATTTTCTTTGTAGCTGACTGATATTTACGTCATAATGTGACAAAAGGTCAAATACACATTTCCGTCTCAATGAGTTTGCTGGAGGCTACATGGGGACATTTATGAGATACACAGCGACGTATAATGAATCATTTTTGACAACATGTCAAGATCCTATTATACAGCCTTACATTGTTCATATTTTGTCCATATTTTACCTGAACATATTACCTGTTGACTAGCAAATATTTTAAAGCTTTCAATGGTCGACTTGGCATAAAAAGTATAAATAGAACCGATTGACGTCATCAGGTGTTGCGTTTTATTCTGAATAAATTTGAACTGTAATTTTATATTGCGGTAACCTTGTGGGAAAGTAAGTGTATGGCGGTGGCAGGCGAATCTAAGATAAGATAAAAACTACCTGTTCAGTTTGCATAAACATTGATTTAAATATGTCGATCAATAGTCTAATAACCTTATCAAATACATAGAAACACATTATAAAAGGGGATTAAAATACTTTCTTATATACTTATTAAATCATGAAATATAATGTATAATTATAATAATTAAAATTCCATTTCCTGTTTACAGTCACTGACCGGATTTCTGCTGTTAACAACAAGAGATGGAAAATTACTTTATATATCCGAAAACGTTACAGAATACTTGGGACATTCAATGGTAGGTAATACATTCTAACTAGGAGACTTATTAAAAAACTGACAACCTTGATATAAAAATATTAAAAGATCACTCACATTCGCACACCGTAAAAATAGAAAATATAACGCTTGAATCTAATGAATAAATACGAAAATAAGATTAATGAAATAAAGACCCAACTATGATCTCATCTTTTATATCAGGAACATATATTTACATAAAAAACAATATTATATAACAAACATTAATACAATGGACAACAAAATTATTATCATATTAATTTTAAAATTGAAATAATATTTTATGATAAATCAGTAAGATTTAAATATGTTTTCTTTCAATTTCAGGTCGACATGAAAACGCAAGGAGATAGCTTGTTTGATATTGTAGACAAACGCGACCATGGCACTGTGCAGGCGCAGTTGTTACATGGTGGCGGGAAAATGTCACAGGATATACCAACCAGCTTCTTCTGTCGAATGAACATGTCGAGGACCCTTAAACGACAAGCCGGATTTGGAGATGTTAAGGTAAACACCCTTCACTGAGCCTCAACACAGTAGGCGTATCTTTAACTTCTATCGCGCTATCTATACTGATAGCTACAACAGAAACACTTGTACAAAGATAATGTGTATTTATAGAAATGGCATACTGCCAACCAAAAATGACATTAGTGGTGAAGTGAAATATTATATTTCTACACAAGCAATAAAACACATTCAAGATGAATGACTATTTCCTGCTAAAGCTACACTTGTCAACTTAAGTTGTCAACTTACAAGATTTATATACAGTGTTCAAAATAAGAAACAAATTTAACAAAAGAAAATTACTCATTAAAATTGATTTTTTATTTTCGTTATTTTAAAATAATATAATATATGCAATGATCATTTTTTTACAGGTCATGCATGTGAAAGGTCACTTTGTGACTGTACCAACACAGGATTCTGATGTAGAACAACAAGTGTTTATTGCTGTTTGTTCACCTTTAATTACACCGGACGTCAAAGAAAGCCTCATCCAAAACAATACCATGGTCTTTAAATCGGTTCACAACCTTGACATGTCCTTCATAGAACTTACAGTGAAGTAAGTTAATTATTTTTCTTGATAATAACAATATCAAAGATATTTCTGACAACCCTTATATTACTTAAAATAACAAGCAGTTAACTAAAGAAGTATAGTAGATGATAAACTTGGAACCAAAAAACAAAAAAATGATGAAACAAAATTGAATATAACTAATTGTACAAAGCATTGATTATTTAAATGTTTTTATTGATTTCAGTGGAGAATATCATCTTCAGACAACTAATGATGAAATCCAGAATAAATCTTGGTATAGTTATATATATCCCGAGGATTTGCAGGAGGCCAAGGACAAACATACACAATGTAAGTCGTTAATATATGTTCAAAGCATAAGTACAATTAGAGATATGGAATATATTTCTATATGGTAATAAAAACCAATTAGACTTAAACTATTTATTATGTTATTGTGATCAATAGATTTAATAATTCATGAAGCCTTGATTATAATAACCTTTTATGTCAAAATCTACTGAGATATGTTAATAAACTTATATGAGGGTTTAATGTCGAAATCTGCTTAATTATTACACGAAATCCGAATAAAAATAAACACGAGATTGAAAATAAGATGAAATCGAGTATTGAAGGGAAATTCGACCACTGACTTTTTAAATATAGCTTTTACATCGTGGGAAGGAAATGATAAATGTCAATTACGTGTAAGAACCTTATTCAGAACACATATTATATATAATTTTTAATTTCAGTAATAAAATCACGACATGAAATGGGGTGTATGATGACTGTACGCATGATCACAGCCAAAGATGAAGTCATCTGGGTCAACATTGTGATGCAAGTTAGACAGGCTTTGTTATCCAATAGTGATGAACCGGTTATCTTATGCATTAATCAAGTCGTCAGGTAAATATTTACTTTTGTACACGGTCGTATTGCGACATAAATATATCTATATTACTAACTTGTATTGTTCGGTTTCTGTTTAATCCATTTTTAGTCTGCATCTCTTTTTATTCGAACTGATATATACTTTTTTATGGCTAAAAGATTGACAGAAGAAAGTTACACATGTATTTTTTATATTTTTCTTTTTTTAAAATGCAACGTAGACAATAGATTACAGTTTATCAAATTGCTATAATATTTTCTTTATTTTGCAGTGAACAAGAGGCATTCCAGTTCAAACTACAAGGGCAGCTATTCGCATTGTATGCATCTCGAACTCCAGATTTCTTCTTCGGATCAACATTTTGTGCTCCTATCCCAACAAATACCGAAGGAAGTCCTATGCTACCAGCTGCTGGTAACATGTTCCCATCGCCATTTTTCTCCGGACAACAAATTTTCGATCAGCCTTTTGCAACCGTACCACAACCTGTTCACGGTCAAATACCTCCAACGCACAAATCTTTCTGTGTCAAAAACTGTTCTCCAAACATGGCAGATAGACAAGGTCGTAATGACACTCTACGAGCACTGAAAAGGAAAATTCAAGAAAATTTCACAACATGCAAACCAACCAAACTTCCTCGAATGATTCATCATCAAAATGGCGGCTATGGAATGGGAAATTCCTCACCTTCATCTGTATTACCCCATGAAACATTAATATGCCAGTCTTTGCCATCATCGCAAAATGATTACATTGCACCAGCATTCGACCATGGTCCCATGCAAATGTTATATGCTAGGAGAGACATCCAACAAACATTAACTCAGAAGAAAGGTCCATTATTGTCTGATCGTGTTTACAAACCGATCGTAAAAATGGAAGACAAAAACAATAATGAGCAAGTTGTTCCGGACGTCTCTATGCCATCTTGCTATCTTACGCCAGACGCGTCACCCGTATCATCTCCACAACCATCAAACGACGGCACCTCAAAGGACGTCCGTTCGTTTAATCCAGTTTTAGTGGCAAAGTATATATGTTCACTGAAGCAGAAACAAATGAATGACACTAACGCCGAGAGGAGATCAAAGAATCTTCCAAGCCTCGATGTTTCATTCGTAGATTCATTCTTTGATGAACTAGGCACATTTGTTATGCAAAATTCTCTAAAAGATTTTGATACCATTGTGAAAGCCGAACCGATTGACATCGATGATCTCATTGACGCAAAGGAAACTGACAATTTTGATGTAGAGGACATACTTGCGTTGAGTGACCCTGAACCGGAGATAAATGGCGGGAAATCTTTGAACGAAATTAAGGTGGAGATTAACGAGAGCACTTTCAGCGTACCAGAAAGCCATACAAGCCCACTGCCCTTGTCTCCAGTTTCGTCAATAACAGAAGACAGGATGTCGTACGACGAGAAATCTTACTGTGCACTAACTCCAGAATCAGACTTCGATTCTGATCATTATGAAGAGATTATGGACCCGGAAAACTGGATGCTTCAGACACTGAAGTTGCCTTGTTCTGGACTGTTGACAGAACTGGACAAATATGGCAATGTTCCTATGGTCAGTGTTGACGCCAGTTCCGGTGAAACTGAGCTGCATCAGCTCAGAAAGTTTATTTCATCTTGGACGCCAAGTGGTAAGATATATTTCTTTATTCTGTGCATTCAAAAATGTATATTTGTACATTTCAGCTTAAATTTCTAGGATTATGGTGCACATAACACAGTTAAAAAAGATAACTACATTTATGTTCAAAACAAACTGCATCCAACAAATACCAACAACACACAACATTTTGAAAAGTTTGAAAATAAACAATTTTTTTAAAATAACCAAAAAAAATTTCTTGATGATTTTTCATATTGATTGCGTAGAAACATATTTACTCAATGTGTTTATTCTATTTTTCAGGTGTTCTCAGTTCTAACGAAGACTCCCAGTAGGCTATTGTGTAAGTTTCGACTTACGACCTTTCATATGTAAGGCATATTGCCACTCCCTATGCGTCACTTCCGGTTTCTGCTGGCAGAAGAGTAATGGAAGACGACGATTGTTCCCCGCTGGACGGGTTTTATTTGTGCTTTATACATTTACATGACTTTAAGTCTGCTGGTCAGACATTTTTACATTTATACTTTATTACTTTACATATTTGAACTTAAATATTATGTAATGTACATATGATTTTTACACATTGTTGCGCTGGTCGCAAGGCTATTATGTAACTTTTGTTTGTGAATTGTAGTGCTGGTCACTACAATATAATTTGCAAAATATTAAGCTATTAGTGCATTTGATTTATGTAGAGTTTATTATATGTAACGCTGGTCGTATCATTCATTCATTAATTTTGATGCTGCTATTGTAAAAGGATAGAGAATTCGTTTTTGATTCATTCATAGACTCTGTTCATATACAGCCCTGGAGGCTGTCCCTGTGTAGGTATGATTTTATTTCTGAAGCTTGAACGTTTTCTCTCAATCAATGCTGGTCAAATGAGGCTGGTACCTCTTTCATCTCATTCATGTTTTGAGTTTTATTTCCCCAAAGAAATAGATATTAAAATTGTAATAATTTTAAATTAACATATTTTAATCTGTTAAAGTTGACATTGTAATATTTAGAAATCAGAATATCCACGTGCTTTGATTAATAAGTAGATCAGGTACATTGCGAATATAATACATCAACTATTACTGAATTATTACTGTCATTTTAAGTGCTGCTGTGGTTATAGGTTATACCACAAACCTCCAGTAAGGAGGATTAGTGTTTCATGGTTTCTGCTGGTCAGAGCCATTTTGTCAGCTTTATTATTAATGAATATGTTGTTACATACCTGTTTTAATAAAGTCTGATGTAATATATTTTATGTCTTGTATATTGAATCATTTAACATGATTGAAATCTTAAACATGTGTACATGGGGGAAATACAACTATATTAGTAATTACTAATAAAAGAAAAACGAACAAACACATTTCGGTAAAAAGATGTGAACTGAAAGAAAAGGCACACAAAGAACTAAGGGACAATTCAAATCTTATATAAGGACAAACTACTGAATAATCTAAAGATAAAGAAAACTAAACAAAAAGGGAAAAAGAAATATTCAACAAATCAAATCATGAAATGTATAAAACTGAGAAAAACTCCAAAATCAAAGAATTTAGTAAGAAAGATACAAGTTTACTATTGCAAACTGAAAGAGAAGAAAAAAAGACGCCAGGATAATTAGAAAACAAAAAAGGTATTGAGCAATATCTAAATTTAATTGAAAATGTCAATATATTCAAAACTTCTCCAACTGAAATTGACACTACAAAGGTATCACGGTCAGCAGTATGAAAAAGTAAACCAATTCGACATGTTTGTGCTTAACTCACTAGCGACTTGTTTTCGAAGTCTTAGATTTTTAGATACCAGAATAATCGTCTTGTATGTAGTCTTAACGATATGGGCGTGAGTGTGGATTCGTATGGAGGTTGATGCATAGCTGCAGACGATTTCCCTGTTGACCCACTCGGTTTCGCTCCGAGTTAATGCGATTCCTTCAGTATGTGTTTGTTACCTTGTCCTCTTAATCGGTTTATAAGATATGAACAACACAAAACTAGTCTACTGTTACCGATATTAAGCAAATGACAATCGATAGACATAATATAGTAAAAACAATCATCAAAGCTACCTGTCTTATAGTTGTGTATGCCAGACGCGAGTTTCGTCTACTAAAGACACCGCAAGTGTCACTCGAACTAAAGAAAAAGTTAAAAGACAAAATAAACTACGAAGTTGAAGAGCATTGAAAACCATAATTCCAAAAGGTTTTGCCAAATTCTGCTAAGGTAATAAAAGAGAACTACAGAAATATTTCAAAAACGATTCAAGCGAAAACAAAATATTTTGCGACAAAGAGAGACAAAGAAAAATGAACTAGTAGATATCAAAGATTACAGTACTTTACTCAAAAAAAAAACCAAACAAACAACACGTGAAGCCTCGCTTGAAATAATAGTAAAGAACACTGTAAACGAAATCATTAGAAAGAATATGGAAAAAGGAGTCGTCTAATTAAAGGCAATCAGCAGGACGGAAAAGTGGGGAAAAGACTAGTTTCCTTCCTTCACACAAAAAGTGTGTTAAAAGGGAGGCAAAACAAGAGAAGTGTTTATAATTTGTTTTATCGAAATCAATTTATGCACTGAAAAACTTCGGAAATTTGTCTTAAAAGGACTTGACAGTCAGTGACGTAATTAAGGAAACACATACAGGAAAATCAAATAATACTTAATCACCATGGCGACCATTAACGTAGACATCCTTATGATTTCCGTAGGTGAACATTATGAGTACAGGCACTTTTAAATATGAAATTACTAGTAACTAGGTCACAGGTGACAGCGTATAATTAGAACACATTTCAAGGACACAATGATAGATCTGCATGCTAAAATCGATTATTTTATATGTTGTGAGGAACCATTTCACTAGAAATAAGGAAGTTACAGACTATCATACAGGGATGACGCGTTGGTGTATACAAAATATTTTACATCCATTGCAGTTTAACTGATTGACTGAAAAAAACCTGTGGAATCCTTTCCATATTGTAACTTAATGAAAACGTCGGCGTTTATTTAACTATGAACCGGGAGGGTGTCGAATAACTAACATGACAAGAACGTGATGTGGGGTATACATGATGTTTGCCCAGAGACAGCAACCTAGAGACAAAAAATAACCAAAAGACATCTAGATTTGAGTACAAGTATGAAAGAAAAATTTTCCTTGTTATTATTGATTTGATGAGTTTATTTGTACTTTTGAAATATATTTTCGATCTTGCATTATCAATAAACTTCCTACATTTGTTTGTATATTTCTGATTGTGCTACAGTCTCTGTAACTGATAAGTAAACGGGAAATAAATATGACATTTACACCCCGGGTAGAAACATCAATATTAATTTCAAGTATTACCGGAAATTGTAACTTAAGGGAATAAACAAGTCAATATAAAAAGCGATATTTAATCTGACTAACATAAGCCTTTGGTGTTGACTGTAAATATTTATTGTTTATTTTGCTCAATTTAATGGTTTATTTATTTACTGACACAAAATATTATTACACAGATTAGATTAAAAATGGAATCCAGTAGCCAGTAAAGCTTAGACTTTGTTTACTCTTTTTTAAGCTCAAGTTGTCAAAATAATTTCTGACTTATTTGAAGGTCTGCGTTTTTCTTTGTATTTGTCTCCAACATTGTTGCTTATACTGAGTTTCATACAAGCAAAGCAAACATGATAAGATAGGCAGTGAAATATATTAGTATTTTAACCATTTGTAAACTATTCAAAGCAATATAAATCGATATTTGTAGATTATCTATAACCAAACCAATTTATTAATAGTTCTTTCACACAAGACAAGCAAGTAACATTTTGTATATTAATACACATTAAACATCCGATTAAAACAATTTTTATTCTGTTTTTTGTATTCACTTTATTTTTTTATACACATTCGTCTGTTGAAGCAACAATATATATTTGCGTAGACAATGAAATATCAGCATATACACAAATATCAGCATGCAAACAATAGAATATCAACATGTGAACAATGGAGTACCAGCATGTAAGCAATGGAATATCAGCATGTAAACAATGGAATACCAGCATGTTAACAATGGAATATCAGCATGAAAACAATGGAATATCAGCATGTAAACAATGGAATATCAGCATGTGAACAATGGAATATCAGCATGTGAACAATGGAATACCAGCATGTGAACAATGGAATATCAGCATGAAAACAATGGAATATCAGCATGTAAACAATGGAATATCAACATGAAAACAATGGAATATCAGCATGTAAACAACGGAATATCAGCATGTACACAAATAAATATCTGCACGCAAACAATGGAATACCAGCATGTAAACAATGGAGTATCAGCATGTAAACAATGGAATATCAGCATGTAAACAATAAAATATCAGCATTTACACAATTATCAGCATGTAAGCAATTATCAGCATGTACACAAATATCAGCATGTAAGCAGTGGAATATCAGAATGTAAATAATAAAATATCAGCACGCAAACAATGGAATATCAGAATGTAAACATTTGAGTATCAGCATGTAAACAATGGATTATAAGCAGGTACACAAATAGCAGTATGTAATCAATGGAATATCATAATATAAACAATGGAATATCAGCATGTAAACAATAAAATATCAGCATACAAAAACGGAATATCAGCATGTAAATACATGTAGTTATAGTTTTGTAATTTAATTTTTTATCTTCAGTCCCATGTTTTTTTTATAACTTGTATTCTTTGTAAGTTATACATATTCGTCTGCCTATCAGCATGTTTGTAATTATATTTGTTTATTTTGTAATAATATTTTTGCACTTTGGGAAATATATTCATTTATGTAATGGCACTGCTATTGTTTCCTAATCCAAATTTTTAAGTACCTGCGTTCTTCGTACATACTTCATACATGTCTGCCTATCAACATGTAAATATAGTTTTGTTATTTTATGTTTTAACAAAGGAAAAGGGATTGATATGAGAGCATTGCTTTGGTCTCCTTATCCAATTTAGTTTTGTATTTCTTTTGTATTTCTTTATATAATTATATACTTGTATTTATGCATGACGAATTTAAGTAATCATGATTGTGGTAAAGCAGCAGTATAGTTTGTGACAAACAAAAAACAAATAACATAAAACATATGAAATATATACAACAATTTTTTTTAACAATCTGTTGTTCAAGACTCATTTGTCCTCAGTTCCATTGGCCGTTTTAATATTTTTATTTCTTTTTTGTTCGAAAAAATATTCTTTTAGTGACAGAAAGCGCATTTTTTAAGAAACTATACCATTCATAAGCAACTCAAATTTCATCTGCCTTTAATTGTGAAAACCTAAATTTGCGAAATATTGGCCCTTTTGTTTGAAACCAGTAAAAACTCCATCAATGAAAATTTAATGCGATTGAATTCATTTTTTTTTTAAAGTTCTGATAGTGGATAACAAAATATATACAGAATGTTATTGTCGACTCGCCGTACAACAATTTTGTTCGCCATATTATTTTTCATAGTTTTATGAGAAATAATTAAGCAACTCATTCTTCATTTAACAGAGCGGTCGTAAATAAGGCCTTGAGGTATAGCAGGGTAGATCTTGTTAAACCACGTCATTTTCTATGGAAAATGTTGTTTCCAAGTATGGAAGTTGGTTTGTAATTATTTAAGTTGTGTCTGCCATTGCATTGCCTGGTTTTGTCAGTTAAATTGACATTTGAGATTCTCTTCTCCTGTGAAAAAAAAATCGCTCTTTTCCAACACCAGTAATATCCTTTTAAGTCTTTATTGGCACCTTCCTTGAACGTAATGCCGTGTTTGCTGATGAAATTAAATCTGATATGCGTATTCTTAAATTCTATACCGTTTGCGTCAAAGGCCGTTGAAACAATTAGATATATTTGCGTAGACAATGGAATACAAGTAGGCGAATGTGTTAATAATTCACTACAATATACAGGTGTCAAGGGACATAACTTACGCAAGTATTGTTGATTAAACATCTCTTGAGGACGCTTTAAACGACACTTATAACAACCGAGACCATAATCGCAATGGATCAATGGAACATCGACATCTTCCAAGCGCTTACTCCTACATGAAAATTAACCAGATGACAATTAAAACTTATTCTTTCTATAATTAATCAATAATAAAATGAGGTCATGAAGCTTATATAATGGATTCAATATACATTAAAAGGTAATATAGAGAAAATATTCATTTGCTACTTTGTAAGTATCTAAA